TCATAGCCGTACCCTTGATCGCTGGCCGCCAAGGTGCTCGCTTGCGGGCCCTGTTGCTATTCGTTATGATTCCTTTACCTACTTGGAGTATTGAGGCGCGCGTTTCGTGCGGCGCCGCGTTGCAACAGTCAGTCGTCTCCAAGGTGCCGTGGCGGCCGCGGCTGAAACACGACGCGCCTCTACGACCAGATCTCATTGCTTCACTCGATCCTGACGACCATAACCGACGACCATACCATCACTCAACTCCGTACGTCAATCCTCGCCGCAGGCGCTTGGTCAGCGATCATCTTGCCGCCGCCGTCGTTGCTGCATAGCCGCTGCCCGCGTCGCCGCGTCAACACCTGCACGTCGTCTCTCGCGCCATCATCGCAACGCGCGCGAGCTGCCCCTTTCCGCCGTACGTCCGCTGTCGCCATGCGCTATTCCCAGCTTCCCTCCCATCACACAGGATCGTCTCTAACGTGGCTTCGCCACAGGCGCTCACACCCTCCCGCTCATCACGCTCAAGCTGCGATCGCTGTCGAACCGCGCTGCAGGTGCTCATACCCTTCTGCTCATCACGTTCAAGCTGCACTCGCCGCGCGCCTCGCCATGAGCGCTCGCGGCCTCCCCAGTTACCACGCTCAACCCGAACTTGCTGCCCGCTCTACCATCGCTTCCCACACACGAGGTACATCCCGCGCTGTCTCTTCGACCCGTTTCGAGGCCCGCAGACGGCCATCGAGCCCACCGTGACCGTGGCCGGCGCGGCCGTGACTCCAGCACCCCACGCCGACCACCCCCGTCGTCGCGGCTCACAGTCGGAGACATCATAACGAAGTGTTTGCCGTGAGTTACATTTGTTTCCGTCGTCTGCTTTCCCTTCACGCTTCGAGTGCTCCGGAGTCCAGAACTCGCACGCGAGCGCAGAGGCGAGCTCCCTTTAGCGTCCTCCCCTTTGCGTCACGCCGCATCACCCGACGCCACCGACTCAAATTCTCTCCTTTGATCTCGGGCATCGCGCGGCCCGATGTTTCCTGCACGGACTTTCCTGAAGGGGGCCGCGCGCTAAAAAGCTTGTCACACTACCAACTCACCGCCAACAAGTCACGCTCACCTCTCTTGAATCAAGACATCTGTTGATGCCGACAGAAGGAGGCGGGAGACAAGTAGTCAGGGATGTCTATTCCTGCCTTCGGCCCCGAACCCAAGACGGGGAGAGGGGAGAGTGGATAACAAAGCAGGGCGCGCCGCAGCGGGGTGCGGCGGCGCAGGAGCGAGGGATTGCGGGCGGCTCACGCGAGATCAGATGATTGATCACCGCGGTCGTGGCCACATGAACGACACGCAACAACATCAACGGCTCTGTCACCTGGTATTTGCGGATCCGGCCATTAGCACGCTCTAGTCGTAGGTGATGACACAAAGGCAAACCGGCCATGTTATTGGATGAATCGGAAGAACGGATCGCTTCTGCTGACACAAACCATGATGCGAGATCCATGAAGCTTAATAAGGTGGGCGGGCGGACTGGTGGGCGGGCGGACTCCTCGAGCTGGGCGCGAGCGCGCGCTATCCTCAGAGGCCCACTTGATTTCATCCTGCTGGCGCTTCCACTCCACCCAGTAGTCCATGTTGGGCGGCGGACCGACGCCCATGCGAGGGCGAGGGCATGAGTCGAGGACGGCCTGGTACTGGGCCTACACGCGTTGAGAAATAATCAGATCGAGGTTGCATCATCAGGTCATGCGTGGCATTCGGGTGTACCTCAAAAGTGGGACTCCAGTTTTTGCGCGAGTCGTTGGAGCTGTCCGAGTCCCCATCTTCCTCTTCACCGCTGCCACCGGCCTGCGTGCCCGAGTCCGAGTCCGAGTCTGAGTCAAAGACGGGAGCAGGACTATTGTCGCGCACCGCGTCCAGGTAGCGCTGGACAAACTCAAGGTCGGCGGGCAGAGCGAGATCAAGCAGGCCCGCGAGCGCTGCAACCTTGCCCTCTTGGCCACCCGGGAAGCGGTCGTCGTCAAGGATACCAGCGACGGCGGTGCGCAGGTTGCCCCACCCATTGACCAAAATGTACTTGCGGCGGGTCTTGTAGCTAAGGCACTCCTGGTTGGGGATTTCGCAGCAGTGGAAGCAGATGCACGGATCCTTGGAGCGCCTGTTGCCTAAACGAGTGATATCTATTCTGCGTAGCATGAAGGGAGCGGTCGAGGGTTGGGGAGCGAGGACCGAGCGCGGGCGGGCGGCGGGTGAAAAGGACTCTTCGCCCGCAGCCACACTCACCGTTTCAGAACGCGTTGCTCACGCGTTCGATTTCGCCTCATTGCCAGTACCTCCACCACTCACTCCGTTCGGGTGTCAACTGTGCGGGGCTTTGCCCAAGTGCCCTCTCGCCGCGATCACCTGGCGCGACTGAAGCGCCCGCGACGTGTGATACAAAGAACTGCATGATTCATGAAGTGGGAGACACAGAGCTCGCTTCAGATGTAGCGCGGACTGAGATCATGCTTCAGACTTGCAGTACTCAAAGGGACTCGAAAGTAAGAGTTGCGACGCGTCAGAACCACGTGTTGGGGCCGTCGCAGCACGCCTACTTCTCGCTTTTGCTCACTTTCCTGTTCTTGAGCTGGATCAAGTCGACATAGGACGTGACAGCGCAAGCTGAAGGTCGCCAAACGGATTGCCCTTCGACTTCGGTAGCGGCTCTCTGTGCAGCGAGTGGCGCTCACGCGCACACAGACGCGGCCAGTCACGCTTCAGTGATGGTGCCCTTGATGGAGCGCTAGCGCGTTTTGATTGTAGGCGCCGAGTACCCTCAAAAACGCCTCAGCGTAGCATACGCGCACGTAGCGCGCAGCCGCTGTATGCTCGGGGCAACTGAGGTCGGATGTGTGACGAACGCGTCAAGACGAGCCACTTGCTCACAACAGCATGATCTCGACTAACGCGTCGATGTTCCACTCAGAAAGCAGCCAACAATGATGCCGTTCGCGTCGCACGCTATGATCCAGCTTGAGGTCTCGAGCGAGCTCGCCTCCCTGGACACGGAACATCAGGGCTCAAATGAAGCGGACCCATGGTGGAAGGATCGCAAAAGGTTGAAGCGCGTTACGGTGCCCACGGGGCGTTGTTGAAGGCGACGCGAGACACTTGGGCGCCAATGAACATAATGTGCGTCAAGATGCACGCATGAGCAGAGGAGCTTCGTCTCGTTCTCATTCGCCAGATAAAACTTGCCGAAGCAGCGATCCTCATCGTCGCGCGAAACCTCAAGAACGTGAGGATTGTCAAGCTTGTGCTGACGCCGTTGGTGGGAGGGTGGGATCAGCGATCGCAACCGCAGCCGCGACGGCCTGTTCAGCCGACTTTCACTCGCCTTCAGCTGCGCAACGCAGTGGTTGGCGGGCGGGTACGGAGAGCCTGTTAACAATGTCGAAGGCTATGATGAATCGCGACGCGCATTGAATAGGGCTCGCCGACAAGGCGTTCTAGCAGATCGATTGCACGTTCCGCCGCTGTGCAGGCGGCAACGGCCGGGGTCATAAGCGGTCAGCAGCATAGCATCCGAGCCGCAGGTGCTTGCGCTGGAACGAAGCTAGATGCGTGCCCCGCTCGTAACAGAGTTCGCGTCCTATACCTCCGAGGCAGAGATACGGCCTAGCTTCCCGTTGCGAGGGTTCATGCGAGTTCGTCGCACCACGTCGCTCAGCGCGACTTCCTGCGGCAAGTAACCAAGACGCGACGCAACGCGACGCGACGCTACGCCTGGCGGGCACAACGGCGGTGTAGTGGCGGTGGCGGCGGCGGCGCACGAATAGCGCGTCCATAGACACCAGGGGAAGGATAAAAACGCAAAGAGCAGGATTTTCGAGCTTGGGTCACCTTGGGGGACAAGGTACTGCAAGCTCAGGCAACATTAAAGTATCCCGCGACGTGCTTCTCCACTAACGAGTTCGCCTAAGCAGCACTCGTGCAGTCACAAGAGCAGAGTGCAAATGCGATGCGAACGGAATACTCAAGTCAACGGTCGAGTTGAGCACAGCACGTCGCGCCGGGGTGGGGCAGGACCGGCCTGCCGTCAAATTCATGTTTTATGGAATCCATTGCATAGAGTGAAAGCTACATTTGTTGAGGGGAGTAAACGGGAGGGGAGCGGAGCGGAAGAGGAAGCCGAAGCGAAGTGGCGCAACGCGACACGGGGGGTGATGTCATCGGCGAAAAGTGTGACTGTAACGTGACGAAACGAGAGCTTCAAGGTCGCACGCCTATGGCTTGGGCAAAGCCCCGCACCGCGACGTTCAAAGCCAGCTCTCCTTGAAGAGGCATTCGATGACGAGGAACGGAGATTGATTACACATTGCGGGGAACTAGGGGGGCATTTAAAATGCTGCATCAATTGAGTACCTCCCCCCGTTGAGCGGGTCAGCGATGCAGTGGCACCCGCGCAGCGGGAGAGTGAGCAGTTTGCTCGGCACGGCGGCGAGTCAAGCAGAAGGACGGGCGAAAAAAAAAACGCCGCATCATGAGCCTTGACTCATCAGTGTGAGCAAAGAGGTCATTGCGATGTGTTGGACACCACGTTGACCGCGGGAAAATCTTGACGCCGTGGAACTTGTTGGTTGTTGGTCACACGGTTGATGATGGCCACGATCTCTCTTGTCGCTGACCGTCTTCCAAAGCCGGTGCTTGTACAGCTAGCGCAGATTCGAGCAAACAACTGCATACAAGCACCTTGAGCACGCGGACTAGACTGTCGCGCTTGGTTGACTTGCGCTGCCGCCCGTCCGGTAGAGTGGCGACGGAGCCCGTTCGCGGTGAGGTAGGGTCTGAGAGAACTTTCTAACCCTTGAAATCGACAAGCCGCTGTCTGGGCGGACCTGTCGTGAAATTGTAAGCATCGCAGACTTTGATCGAACTGGCGACGGGAAAACAGCCGCTGTACACAGACGGTCAACTTAATCGTTCCGCCGTTAAAATATGGCGCTAAAATCAAACTATCATGAAAGATGAGGGACGTCGGTCCTGTAGTGTAGTGGCCTATCACCCCGCACTTTGAATGCGGAAACCCGAGTTCGAATCTCGGCAGGACCTTTTTGATGTTCGATGAGGATCAGAAGTTTACTTCCGGTATTTATTTTGTCGTTCCGAGCTCGGCAGAGGCCGCGGGAAGTCGCCCGAGGTCACAATCCCATTTTTTTAGCCGATCCTGCCCGACAACCAATGGTTTGTGTCATCAGCCACCCTGCATCGTGTTGCCCTGATTCAGAGGCACCTCTGCATCGAGAGTACTCGTCAAACTGCGGCAGGGTCAGCCTGTGAAGCGAGCCGCCGGGCGACTCGCGTTTCGGCCATCCCCATGACCCCTACCACCATCACGGTGACTTCCAACTCAGCTCTCGCGGAATCAGCAGTATCGATTGTCCAAGGTTGAAGTTCGGCCGCAGCAATTGGTTCGGACTTGCCGCCGCACGAGCTTCATCGTCTTAGGGAGCCGGTACCGTCAGTTATGGCCATGACGTGATGTGGCGTGTGCCTCCTTCGCACTCCCCACAAATTAGTCAGTTGCCCACCGCGACATGCTTACCATGCACCCCATGTTCCAAGCAGTATCCCTCGTCGTTTGTCGTTGCTCTATGGTGCGGGTGCTGTTACGCGACACGTGTGGCAACCGCCCAAACTCCGTCATGCTATTAAGATGGCGATAGCGCGCACAATGGTGAAATCATGCTGCTCGCACCGCTCGGTTCAACTGATCCGTTCTTGCAGCCTCGGGTTTGCCGTGAGGGCAACGAGCGGTCTGTCATTTCGTCATCGTTGGTTGACGCGGATCGGCGCTCGCATTAACGGCTTCTTTCACATGAGACGTGGTGCGAGGTTTCTGCGCAGACATCCGCAAGCTCAGTGGTCGGCATCCCAGTCACCCGTGTGGGCGACGGCCGGCCGGGGGCGCGTCGCGCCACTCACGTGTACGTGATCACCTCGCCAATGCGAGTCAACTGGCCTGAAAGCGCATACAGAGTTCAGCCACCACAACAACGCAAGGTATAAATGAGAGCAAGCTGTATTTATTTATGGCAGTGAGAGACAGAGACGGTTGGGTTTGGTAGACGACAACGGGACGGGGGAGCAGAGAGAGGGAGGGAATAGGCGAGGTGAGATGGCTGGCCGCCGACCATGGTCGCGACTGACGACCGCCAAGGACGACAACCACCCACCCACCCACCCGACAACAACAACAACGACGAGGGGGGCAGGTTCAGAGCAGGCCGCAGTCCTCGAGGTTCTTCTTGATGATGATATCGTTCACGGCCGCCATCACAAATTTGATCTGGGTCGTATCGGTGCCGCTGCATCATAAAAAGGGCGATTTCGTGAGTTCTGGTCCGATATTTCTCGGAGGGCGCGGTGTAGGGTGTGGGGATAGGTGGGTGGGGGTGTCCGATGATGAAGGTAGGGTACGGGACCCAAGTCAAAGTGTCGACAGGCGGGGGCGGCGAGCATCGCGACGAGAACAGGGAGATCGTACCAGGTAAAGTGGGCGTAGATCTGCTTGCTGTCGGGGGTCTGGTTGAGGCCCTGGAACTTGTCGAGGAAGAACTGGCACGCCGCGTCGTAGTTGGTGTCGCCGGCGTAGTCGGGGAAGAACTTGCTGATGGGCGAGCGCAGGATCTTGTCCTTGAACAGGTCGATCTTGTTGAGGAAAAGGATGATGGACGTCTTGACAAACCACCGCGAGTTGCAGATGCTGTCGAAGAGCGTCATGGCCTCCTGCATGCGGTTGACCGTCTCGTCCTCGACCAGCACCTGGTCGTACTCGGAGATGGCGACCAGGAACACGATGGCCGTCACGTTCTCGAAGCAGTGGATCCACTTCTTGCGCTCCGACCGCTGGCCGCCCACGTCGAACATGCTACATGAATTGGGCGTGAGTGGATCGGGTCTGACGAGGTGATCCCGTCGTAGACGTGTACCGGTACGTGAGCTCCTGGATGCGGAACGTGGTCTCGACAATGCCCGTGGTCTTGACACGCGACCGCAGAATGTCCTGGTCCGTCGGCTTGAAGGCCGGGTCGGCGAGGCGGTCGATGGCCTCGAAGTAGCTACGCGTGGGGGTAACGGGTCAGTGACATGGTTTCGACCCAAAGACACGCGAGGAAAACGTACTATTTGGCCGAGTCGTTGAGCTGGTACTCGCGCGAGCGCAGGAAGCAGGCCTGGACGCCCGAGTCCTGCCACAGGGTGCGGACGGCGGCCGAGATCTCGGGTGCGAGCGTGTCGCCCTCGATCTGCGGGGGCTGGTCGTCGATGAGGGTGCGCTGCGGGGCGTTGGCCTCGTCACCGAGCGGGATGCCGAGCATCTCCATGGCCTCGAGAATCACCTTCATGGACTGGATGACGTTGCTGTAGATGATCTCCTTGTAGGCGAGGCGCTCCTCGTCGCTGTAGCCGACGCCGTGGATGAGCTGCATCTGCTTGAGGATGGTCGACTTGCCCGACTCGCCGGCGCCGAGCAGCAGCATCTTGACCTCCTTCTGGGCCTGCATGCGCGCGTCCTTGAGCTGCTGCTCGATCTGGTCGTTGACGGCCTTGCGCTCTCGCGACTCGACCGACTGGAGGCAGCCCATGGTGGTGGCGGGTGCGGGTGGTGCAGGTGGGAGGGGACCGAGGCGAGGTGGGAGGGGTGGTGGAAGTAGCCGACGATGGGGTTGGCGGGCGAGCGACTCGCGTGTCGGCGGTGGTGGGCGACAGACGGGTTCACGCGCGCGTCGAGTTTAGGCTACACGCGGGAGGGCGGGTCGAAGGTCAGTCTTGCGGTCACCGGCCGGGCCCGTCGTTCGGGCAGGCGTACCGATTCGATGGAGGGCAGGTTCGAGAACCGTGGCGTCGAGGTCGACCGATCGAGACGGGGGCGGGGCCGAGTGCGATCGAGACGGGTGCCGCGCGTCGGGGAGCGGGCGGTGGCGGTGCAGGTGGTGCGGGTAGGGCGGGTATGCGAGTGCAGGCGCCCGCGGCAATCGAGTCGAGTGCGGGGAGCTGCTGTATCGGGGCAGGTGGTGGTCGGGCGGGAGGGAGGAGAGCGGGTGGCGACCTTGGTGGCGCGCGCGAGCGAGTGCGGGCGGTTCCGATGGCAGCCGGGTCGGGGTGTGGTAGGCGTTCGGCGGGCAGAGCGAGAGGGAAAGGAGGCGGAGATGGCGGCGGCGGCGACGCGTGGGTGGCGAGGGGGGGACGGGCGGGGCGGGGCGGGACGCGTGCGGGCGGGCGCGCGTGTGCGTGTGCGTGTGCCGGCAGCCAGCCAGCCAGGAATAATTGTTCAGCGAGATAGCGGATCGCGCGAATTCGGCCTGCCTCTCTCGCCCGCGCGCGCGTCCGTGTCCCCCAGCGCGCGCGACGCGTGAGAGGCACACGTGCGCGGCGCACCTGAATGTCACCTGACGGACGCGTGATGCCGCCGCCACACCTCATTTCGCGATCCGCCCGCTTGATCCGGCCGACACTTTTGACTCGCCGACCTGCCCTGCCGCCCGCTGCAACCGCACCCATCCACGATATCAAGCACGCCGCGCCGCACTCGCGCGCTACCCGCCGCCCTCGCGCCCGCCACCTGCTACGCATCGACTCCACGACCGCGACCGCGTCAGCCCGACCGCGTCCCGCCGCCTCTGCACTACACTCGGCCCATTGCTGCCGCCGTCGCACCCGCGTACTCGCTGTCCCGCAGCCGCTTCCCGCGCGTCGACTACTCTCGGTGATCCCACATTCGGGTCCCCGCCCTCGTCTCGCCGACCCCTGAGGCGGATCCGACCCCACCGACTACCACTACCAGCCCATCACCGCCATGGAGGACAACCAGGAGGTCGACCTCGACAACGTCATTGCGCGCCTCCTCGAGGGTGCGTTCCGCTGCTCGCCCCGTGGGTCGCCCGCCCGGCCCTGACCCGTACCCGTACCCCCGCGTCTAGTCCGTGGCAGCCGGCCGGGCAAGCAGGTGCAGCTCGCCGAGCACGAGATCAAGTGGCTGTGCACAAAGTCGCGCGACGTGTTCCTGTCGCAGCCCATCCTGCTCGAGCTCGAGGCCCCCATCAAGATCTGCGGCGACATCCACGGCCAGTACTACGACCTGCTGCGCCTCTTCGAGTACGGCGGCTTCCCGCCCGAGGCCAACTACCTGTTTTTGGGCGATTACGTCGACCGCGGAAAGCAGTCGCTCGAGACCATCTGCCTGCTGCTCGCCTACAAGATCAAGTACCCGGAAAACTTTTTCATCCTGCGCGGCAACCACGAGTGCGCCAGTATCAACCGCATCTACGGCTTCTACGATGAGTGTACGTGTTTTTCTCGTCGGTGCGTGTGTGCGACCCACTGACTCGGATCCACGCGAATAGGCAAGCGCCGGTACAACATCAAGCTGTGGAAGACCTTCACCGACTGCTTCAACTGCCTGCCCATCGCCGCCATCGTCGACGAGAAGATCTTCACCATGCACGGCGGCCTCTCGCCCGACCTGCAGTCCATGGAGCAGATCCGCCGCGTCATGCGGCCCACCGACGTGCCCGATACTGGTACCACGCGTCTCACCCACTCCGCCGTCCGTGCCGCCCCTAACTCACCCACGCCGCTCGCTTCCCCCCTCTCCGTCAAGGCCTGCTGAGCGACCTGCTGTGGGCTGACCCAGACCCGGACATCACGGGCTGGAACGAGAACGACCGCGGCATCTCCTTCACCTTTGGTCCCGACGTGGTGACGCGGTTCCTGCAGAAGCACGACATGGACCTGATCTGCCGCGCGCACCAGGTCGTCGAGGACGGCTACCAGTTCTTTGCCAAGCGCCAGCTCGTCACCATCTTCTCGGCGCCAAATTACTGCGGCGAGTTCGACAACGCCGGCGCCATGATGTCCGTCGACGAGACCCTCATGTGCTCGTTCCAGGTACGCTCAACCGCGACCGTGAGCACGACTCGGTAACTGACACCGACCTCCCCGAGTGTAGATCCTGAAGCCGGCCGACAAGAAAAAGTTTGCCGCCCGCTCGCGCTTCGGATAGACGGGTCGCTGCGCGCCTGCGACTGCGACCACGACCAACCCGTGGCACT